TCGTTCAACCACAAGATAGTAATAATGACCAAATTACCATAAACAATGCTCTGCACTGGGATTAAAAAGAGTAAAAAAAGCACTAAGAATAAAAGCTTTAGAAAAGAAGAAGAAAAGAAATTGGATAATGACCTTAGCTTACAAACAGGGAAAAAGTGTAAATATATCTGAAACATGTGCAAAGTAAAACTTATTCCTTGCAATGTGAACTTTTTGTCAGACTAGAATATTCTTGAGTCATGCCATGAATTGAATGAAGAATTAAAACAGGTCAGACTTATATATGAAAAGAAAAAAAAAAAGAAAGAAAAACATGTGTATATATATTGCCAAAACAGTGACTAGCTAAAGATGCAATTTATATTTCAACTTTACTGTTTTACTATCCTTTTTGGTTTATTATTATATTTTGACTTTAACATATCTTGCCCAGGACATCTCAAATTCAACAGTTTATCTATCTATTTTATGGTTATTCTGGTCTGAATAACCTTCATAACCAACAACACAAATTTTCATTCACTGCAGCTAATAAAAATCTCTCCTATATTTTGCCAAATACATTATAAAACCCAATCAAATATCTATGTTTTTTTTCCTCAGTCAAATAAAGCCATTTTAGCCAAATATCTCAAAACAAGAATTCACATCAAATGGAGCTTTCCATTTTTGTAATTCAAAATATTTGGTAACAAAATAACTTGGATAAAGAGACAAACACATCAACAAGTCAACTGCTATATAAGAAATCATCCTTGTTCATGTCTCTTCAAAAGAAATGGACAGCATTGCAAAAATGGATAATAAAAAATCTAAATATTACAAACTATCCCTAATGGCGTCTTTTTATGAACAAACGAGTGTCTAACATATGATACATTTTCAGACTTCTAAATCAAGTTTTGCTGAATATTATCTTGGTAAAATTATAGCTAAGCCAGACAAAAAACAAAAACAAAACAAAAAGATAATGATTCAGCGGCAAAAAACAGAAAAGTCTAAATTTCTTTTCTTTCTTGAGTGCCTCCTCTTCTTCTTTAGAAATTACTTGACAGGAGCACAAACAGGATAATCTTGATTAAAACTTTTTTTTTTATCAATGTAGTTTGTCTTAGCTCATTTTGGCAATTGAAATCCATGCACCCACAGAACAAGACAATGCAATTATCCTGAACTCTTTTCATTGTTATCCAGTGAAATATGAAATTCATATACCCAGATAAAGAATACAGGGAAGGCATGCTAACAAAACAAGAGACAATAAAGATAAAAAGAAAAAAGAGAGAAGATATAGCAAACAGTTGAGCAAATAAATTTAACAGATAAACCGAGTATATATAAAGTTCCCAAGAGGACAGAAGAGAAAAGTAGAAAACAGAAAAGAAGCCAAGAGAGAATGGAATAAAATAAGACTCTTAACCAATCAATTATTTCTAGGCCTTCACTTATGCCCTACATGTTCTTTGCACACAACCGCACCATTCAGCCAGCCACATGCAAGGAGATATCCCATGAAAAGCTGTATGTGATTCAAGGATTCCTGACGTGCCATTGTTTCATGAACTGTGGACTTTCTGTGAGAGCTGGCCTCTATGAATTCTACTCATAAGCATATGTTTGCTAAGCTGATGTAATGACAGTTGAAAGACATAATGAAATAAAATAATAATAATAATAATAATTATCATAAAAACAATAATAAATGAACAATAAACAAAAGTAATAACAGAAACACTTGGGAATAAATTAAATTTCTTCTTCAGTTTCAACGGCTGTAATGCACAAAAGTGACCTCTCATTCTGCAATTCTGTTTGTGTAACACACTACAGAATTCCCCAGGTGCTATACAAAGACAGCAGGAGAACATTGCATTTATTTGAAATGATTCTTGTCCATTTTTTTTTCTTTGTAATATTGCAATCAAAATGAAAGCACCTTCAGCCCAAAAAAAAGGGGTGACATTGCAATACAGTGTATAAGGACTGCTAAAATAGAATCTTTCGATGTTATCCAGTAAAAATTCTTTCTAATGTTAGCCAAATGGTTACAGAAACAACAATTATTCTCCCAGAATTACAGTCTTCTGCACAAATCACAATAAACGAAATTGGCGCATACATCGCTCAAAAAGAGCATATGAAATTCTGTGAATGCTTTTCTAACTGAACAGATGGTGTGGTGTGTATATATAGATGGTTGCATCATGGAAAAGGGCCTAAACAACCATGAACTTCCCATCTCAAGCATGGCAAGATCTGCCAAGTAGACATTGCTCCCAACCACAGTTAGGATCAATTCATATCACTGGAAAAGAAAGAGCAGTTACTCTGTAATATATAAAATGCTACAGCTCCTTCTTAGGTTACAAAATTCAATACATGTAGCAATATAAAGCATTTGGGGATGTTACACAGGGGAGCACTTGGGAACAGTCAGTAACTAAACTATAGTAACAGGTTTATGTTATAAGGTCTGAGTGACTTTGCATTAACAACGCAT